TTTGATATGTTTTTAATCAAAGGTCCCATGCTGGACCTGCTTCCATGAATGGCCATGACGAAGGGAAAAGGGAGAGGAACCAGCCGACATGGGGAGGGGTCATCTCCACAACATTCCATTTGTACACAGAACTAAACAGACAAGCACAGAGTCACTGTGCGGTTAGAAGTTGGCAGCATGGGAAGGGAGAGGAACAGGTGGGGAGTGAGGGTTTTGTTAAAAAAAAAATACAACCCCCCCCCAAACTGGGGTGCATGGGGGGAACTTGGTCTGCTTCAACCCAAGAGGAATCAAGATCAAAAGCGGTTTGGGAAGGCTGGAACCTTCAGGAATGGAGGGAGGGAAATCCAGGGGGTGGGGGTGCTGTTTGGCAACTGGAGTGAAGGGATTGCCCTCCCCCTTGCTGGAATCCCCCCAGTCCCTTCGGTCTGGCAGGAAGGGGGCAGCCTGCAATCCCTGAGAGCAGGTCTGGGGCTGCCAGATGCTCTAGGCAGGGGGCCAGAGGGGGTATCACAAAGGCTTGTCCCCCAGGAAGATGACGGCACTGCCCCCCAGCTTCTCTGACAGGGTGCAACGGTCCTTGACCTCCTCGTAGCAGCTTGCTTGTAATTCATGCTTGATCCCTGTCAGCTTCTTCTTGATGGCGTCCTTGGAGTTGGCATAAATCATTTTACCCTTAAGGGATGCACACTCAGGAGCCCAGAAGATAAACACCAGATCCTCCTTCTTGCTCTTCTTGGTCTCATAGGTTGCGCCATAGAGGGCATAGCGGCAGTACTTGTCTGGCAGCATCTTGACAAAGGTGGCCTAGGGGTCACTGACAGTCTGACCCACATAACCTACCAGCATCTCCCTGCCCTCCTCCAGGATGATGTTCTTGTGCGCTTCTTCACCTCCTCTGGTGTGGAAGATCTGTGCACCATCATGCCATTGAACACCTTGATGATGCCATCAGAGACAGCCACAGCAGAGGCCTTGTTTCCGGAAGCGAAGAGGAGAGATGTCGAGGAGAGCAAGATAATAGGACGACGCTGCGGCTGCTGCCGGGATCCGACTGAACGCGGCCTCTCCCCTACAATTTTTTTTTTTTTAAAACTTATCCAGAATTTATAGAAATTGGTAAATTTCGCATGATTCATTACCTAAGGTTTTCCCTTTAACTGCCCAAGGTTTTATATAATAACAATTTTAATAATTAAAAGCTTTACCTAGCCTTTTTAGCAGTTTGGTTTAGTTATAACTAACACACAGTAAACTGAACATATTTAGAGTACAGAATTTCATCAGTGTTGGCATATGTATATACCTGTGAAGCAATCCCCTTCCACCATTTCTTCCCTTCCACCATTCTTCATACAACCCCTTCCCAGATAACCAGTCACTGTATATCAGCTTGCACCTTCTAGTGCATTATATGGATAGACTCTTACAGTATATACCATTGTATTCTGGTTTCTTTCACTCAGAAAATTCCCTGGCGATTCATGAAAATTGTTGTATGCATCCTAGTCCATTCCTTCTTATTAAGTGGTATTCTATTTTATGTGTATATAATTATGTTTGTCTATTCACCTGTTGATTGACACTGGGATTGTTTTCAGTTATTGTCTATTACAATTAAAACTGCTATAAACATTTTTTTCACAAGCATTTGCTCGAACATATGCTTTTTATTCTCTTGGATGATCATGTAGGTGTAGGTTTAAAAGTATAAAAAACTGTCAAGCTGTTTTAAAATGGTTGCATAATTTCACATTCTCACTAGCAATGTGTACAAGTTCCAGCTTCACGTCTTCAGCAAAAATTTAAATGGTCGGGGGTTTTTTGTGTTTTGTTTTGCTTTTAATTTAGCCACTTAATAAATCTATAGGAGTATCTCATTATAGTTTTGCTTTGTGCTCCTCTAAAGACTAAGTAGGTTGTGCATTTTTTCATCTGCTTGTGTTTAGGATTTGTATATCTTCTTTAATGAAATGTCTGTTTAAGTTTTTTTTGCCTAATTTTTAATTTGATTACTGTTTTTCTTAAATTGAGTCTTGAAAGTTTTATAATACATTTCCTTTACCAAATATATAATCTGCAAATAATTTCTGTTAGTCTATGGATTGTTTTAAATTATCAAAATCTTTAGAAAAGCAGAAATATTAAGTTTGATCATTTTCAAGTTATCTATATTTTATAGATCCTGTTTTTCATGTTATATACATTTTTGCTTTCCCTAAGGTCACAGATATTTTTATTTTTTTGTGATTCCTTCTGTGAGGAAGGAAATATATGGCTCAGATGCATTTTTCTCACAACTTTCTGAAGGTGTAAATGGCAAATAAAAACTGTATATGTTTATGATGTACAATGTGATGTTTTGATATATGTAGATATTGTAATATAATTACATCAATCAAATTAACATATCAACACCTCACACACTTATTATTTTTGTAGATGAAAAACATTTAGGATACACCTTTTAGCAATTTCCAATTATATACTACATTACTATTAACTATAGTCACCATGTTGTTAAACAAATTTTCAGAACTAATTAAACCTAAGTGAAACTCTATATCCTTTGTTCAACATCACCCCATTCCCCACCCTTACCAACCCTGGCAATAACCATTCTACTCTGCTTCTAAGAGTTCAGTTTTCTTTTCTTTTTTTTTTTTTTTAGATTTCACATATAAGTGAGAACATGTGGTGTTTATCTCTCTGTGTCTGGCTTATTTCACTTACCATAATTTCCTCCTAGTTCATCCATGTTGTCAGAAATGTCTTCTGTTTTAATGTTCATCTGATAATTTTCACATATGTATAAGTATTTGGTAGGTTTGATTAATTCCCCTTATAATGGGTTGTGTTTTTCTGGTTTTCTTTTTTTCGTTAGTAATCTTTTCTTGAATGACAAATATAGTAAAACTTCGCTATTTAGATGAAGGACATATTTTGTATTTCTATAAATTTTGAGTTTGTCCCGGGAAGATGTTACTTTGAAACAGATTGATCTTTTCGTTCTTGCTTTACGACAGTTAGATGAGTACAGAGTAGTGCTCTGAAAATAATAATTATTCTCTACTACGAAGACAAAAACTTCCTGAGTATTTGGCTCCAATATCCCATGAATCATGAGTTTGTTTGTTTGCTTTTTTTTCCAATGTGCCAGGTGGGAACAGTCATTATTCCCAGCCCGTGTGAATGCTGGATTATTCTATAATCCTTTCTAATGTTGTATTTTATTTCCCAGCTTTGAATAGTTTCCTTACATCAATGAGCCAACCAGTATTTTTCTGAATAATCAAAGGGAATTCTTGGCAGAACTCTAAGATGTCTTTTATGTGCAGCTGTCTCCTACCCAGTACTCTGCCCTGTGAGTTCTAGCTTCCTTGGTAACCACAGTCTCTCAGCTGTGTCTTGTCATCTCAAGGATTTCTTTAGGCTGTTCCCAGTTCTTTCTCTCTGTGCAGTAGACTAGAAACTCTCAGAAAGCTATAGGGCTCATGAAGATTTTTTTCCTCTCTCTCAGGTACCAGTTTATTTAATTGCCATACACCCAGTGTTTTGAAAATTCTTGTTTTGTATGCTTATGTCTGTTGATTTTGGTTATTTCAGGCAGATGGGTAAATTTGTTCCCTGTTACTACAACTTGCACAGGAGTGGAAGTTTATTCTGCCTTTTTATATTGGGATGATGTCAAACTGTATGATTTTGTTAATGGCCATCATAATGAATATTATTTACTACATGCTTAAAATGGTCTTTTCTCTCCATCTGACAAATGGAAACCTCAGATTGAGTGTCGAGAAAGTGGTATCAGATATGGGGATAAGATGGGATTGATGAGTAATTACAAAGCATAGTCACTAAAAAAATCAGTGTGAAGGGAAAAAGTTGGAATGAGACCAAAACATGTATTTCTGGTCTCCAGAGGATCATGTAGATAGGCATAGAACAACAAAACAGAAACAAGTTATAAGGAGACATAAAGCATGGCAAGGCACTATGAGTATTGGTGACCTCAAAAAAGGGTGGGCTCTGGGTAAAGGGAAATCTGGGTAGAAAATAACAGCTCTGAGAATTCCTGGTATTCTTTTCCTATTTGTATTGATGGTCCTGACCATTATCTATGATGAAATATTTGCCACTGAATTATGATTTTAATTTTATGTCCTTTATATAATAATTACAAGGCTGTTAAACTGCCATTCCCTTTGCTACTATTTTCCAGCTTCTTACAAAAGAGAAATGATAATATATTTAATAAGTGTAAAAGATTTTAGAGCCATGATTGAACAAATCTGCCCTGCACTTAAAATACATACATATATAAAATACATACATATATATAGTATATGTATGTATGTTATATATATATATATATATATATATAATCTGAGAGATGATGCCCTTCCATCCCTGTTGGCACAGTGGTCACATATACTGTGGGATGGAGCTCTTTTGACTATCCCTACATCTCACTAAACTAAAGCAAGTAAATAGTTGACACGTATAATTCCAGCACTTTGGGAGAACGAGGAAAGAGGATTGCCTGAGCCCGTGGGTTCGAGACCAGCCTGGGCAACATGATGATCTCCAGCTTAAGCAGAAAACCAAACACTGCATGTTCTCACTCATATGTAGGAGTTAAATTCTCACAAAGATGGAAATAATATATACTGAGGACATCAATGGCAGGGAGAGGTATTAGGGTTCAGAAACTACCTACAGGGCACAATGTTCGCTATCTGGAGAATGGGCCACTAGAGACTCAATCCTCACGAGTATATAATATGTCTATGTAATGAATATGCATCTATTCCCCTGAATCTAAAACAATAACCCCTGAATCTAAAAATAAAAATTTAAAGAAATTTTTTAAATGTGGCAAATTATATGAAGTGGAATGATTCTGCAAAACCACAAACTATCAAAACTCTCCAAAATGGCACATATTATTAAATAGTCCGACTATTAAAGAATTAAAATTGGCAATTGAGCATCTTCTGAAAATAAAATCATCTTACCCAGATGGTTATCTGATGAATTCTACCAAACATTTAAAGAGTAACACCAATGCTGCACAATCTCTTTCAGAATATAATACAGGAGGGAACACTTCCTAACTCTCTCAACTCATTTTATGGGGTCAAAATTACTCTAATGCCAAAACAAAGACAGTTAAAACAAAACAAAAATGCAGACTAATATATTTTGTAAAAACAGATGCAAAATTCTGTATTATGATTTAACTATACAGTGAGTTTAAGAAAAGGTGATGAAAAAACTGTGAGATGTATACTAGGGAAAAAGATACATTTTGAAATAGGAATGGGGAAATAAATCACGATAGAAAGTATGACCAGAGAAACCTAATACTAAACCCTTTCTCTTTTATTAAATACTTGAGGATTTTAGTCAAAATGTTTAACCTCTTTTGGCTTGATTTCACTCATATCTAAATAGGAATTAAAACCAGTTACCTCATAAATTGTTTGTGTCATTTAGAGAATCAAATGAGATTATGTTTATAAATTGTTCAACACAATGTCTGGCTTGTAATGTACAAAAACAAATGGTAGCTTAAAAGTAAAATGACCAGACATATGTGAATGAAGCAATTATTTGCACAACTTTCAATGTAACCCATACTCCTATATAAGTTTTCACTAGTCAATTCAATTAATTTCCAAATATACTATTGTGTTTCTTGACAATTACTTCAATTTTGAATAAAATGTTACAATATAGAGCCAATTGTTCTGAAGCAACAATCACCTTTGATAGTGCCAGTGTTTGCTCTGTGCAAAGGTTCAAAAGGCATCTTTAATATGTAAAAATAAGAATTACTCTTCTACCTAGCTCATAAACTGTCTACTCCATAGACATTCCTTCAATGAACCCAAAATTCCTACTATCAAAGTTGCTGACCTTATAAACCAGATGGGGCTCTGTCCCCAAGAGGCCATTATTAAAATGCCCAGGATACTAGATGAAGGAGGAAAGGAAATTGGTGAAGGAGCTATAGAAGAAGCAGTGGACATTGTGTTCTAATTTTGCTCCTTTTATATTTGTATAGATCTCCTTATCCAATTAAAAGTTGGAAAGCACAGAACATTTACCACCCCATTGTGAAGGGTAAGTTCTTGGGACTGTAAAGCCCAGCATCTATCACATGCCTGGTACAAAGTAGACACACAGCACATAATGTTTGACCCGAACTGAGCTGCATACACAACCCCAGACAGGCGATAAACAAATAAGTTCCCAGACTATGCTGTCCAAGTGCCTCATTGTCACGGTGTAGCAGAAAGGTTTTTAACTCCAGTGCTCCAAGGCATTAGGTCTTATTACCCATTTGGAATCTCAATGAAAGGTGGGGGATTCCAATTCCCATTACCTGTAATGGAAAAAAAAGTCGATGGTGCCTGGGTGAATAGGGAGTGTGGGGCATGGGGTCATGCTGTTTTGGTCATAAGCTGCTGAACACTGAGTGCAGTGGGCAGGTGCGCTTATAAATAACCCATAATGAAATGGTCAAACATGTTGAAGGAATCTCAAAAAAAAAAACACTGAAGCTGAATGCAGTCTTTCACGACAACACTAGCTGGTCCATTAATGCTGAGGGTTCCTAGAACACTTACCTAGCAAGGGAAGCCTGTACTACAAGGGGCCTGTCCTCCAAAAAATAATTCAGAGTATTTTGGGGTCCTCTTTTGTATGCCTCTAAGAGATGCTGACTACCTGGTATAAAATAGACTCTTCATGAAAACAACCCTCCCCTTTATTCTCTAGCCACTTATCCTGCTTTATACTTTCATCTTGTATATTAATGACATAATATATAAGGATAGGTTGACTATCCCTCTCTCACCCTAACCAAATATAATCTCTATGAGAGCAGGAACTCAGTCTGCTTGCTTCACTGCTGTATATCCAGTATGCAAAACTGTACCTAGTACATGGTGGTCCTTCAATTACTTCTCAAATGACCGAATGGATAAAGTAATTACAGTTAGATATTTAGCATTTTCTAATGGAACATACTCATTTTAAAGATGAAGCACAAAAACTTTCAAAACACCTACTGTGTGTAAGGGACTCAGTGCACACAACTACACTATAAAGTAAGTAATGTTAGCATTTCCCATTTCACAGGTGAAGAATCTAAGGCTCACAGAGGTAAATTTTAATGTCATAGAGCTAGTAAGTTGCAGAACAAAACCCAGTTTGGTCTCATTGCAGAGTCTTCCTACTATATTTCACACACTGTGTTTCTGAAACACAAGAACACAACACACATTACCAGAGGGAACTGATCTAACAACCCAAGTCTCAAGCATATACAGCATGCTACATATGAACACATACTTGTAGACATAAAACTTTAACACAGTTTAAATGAGATTGTTTGTCAATGCAAGCATGTATAAAACAAAAGCAAAATCAATAAAATTCTAATAAAGTTAAAATAAAATGAAAAATTTTTACTCACAAGACTACAAAACTCATATGTTAAAAGGCTATTGGAAGTAGGGATTCTAGAATGGCTGATTATAAAGCATGATACTACTCCAAAGACAACAATAAAATGACAAAATTTCTAAAAACAAGCATTTAAAGCCTGTAAATTGACTAAAAACACACAGCAAATTGGGAAGCACTTATTTAAGAATATCTACAAAAATTTCATTATGAGCAGTGGGAGTTTGTGAGGTTTTAGTCTAGGGTTGCTTTCCTTGTCCACACCCAGCTCTGTGGCGCAGAAGTGATAACAGAGGAGTAGGAGAAAGCTGACTTTACTTGGAAAAAAGGTGGAACATTCCATACATAAGGATATTGTCAAAAAAATAATGATCTCAATGGCAAGCATCTATAAAAGGTCAAAATCATGAACTTACATCTCAATTCTGATTGCAGCAAGTGACAAAGAATGGAGCCAGAAATTTAAGATGGAGATCTGGGAACAAGAGATATAATGTAGGTATTTTTTTTTCTCTTTGAGTTGGAGTCTCTCACTCTGTCTCCCAGGATAGAGTGCCATAGTACACTCATGGCAACCACAGCCTTGACCTGCTGGGCTTAGGTGATCCTTCACTTCAGCTTTCCAAGTAGCTGGAACTACAGACACGTGCCACCGCGCCCAGCTAATTTTTTGATTTATTGTAGAGATAAGGTGTTGCCAAGTTGCTCAAGCTGGTCTAGAACTCATGGGCTCAGGCAATCCTCTCACCTCAGCTTCCCAAAGTGCTGGGATTATAGGCGTGAGCCACCACGGCTGGCCATCATGCAGCTATTAATAAGATTCTATTTATGCCCAGTATAACTAAAGCAATCTTGAAAAAGAAGAGTGATTCTGAAGGATTTACATTTACCAGTTTCAAAACTCATTATTAAATTATAGTGACCAAGATAGTGTAGAACTATCATAGGACAGATATATGGACCAATGGAACAGAACTGTGAATTCAGAAATAAACTCTGACATATACAGTAAATTTAGTTCAACAGTGATGCCAAGGCACTTTAATGAGGAAAGAGTATTTTAACAAATGGTGCTGGGACAACTGGATAGCCACATACAAAAATATAAATATAAGCCTTTAATTCACACTGTTAAACAAAATTAACTCAAAATGGGTTGCATTCCTAAATATAAGATCGAAAATTATAAAAATTTTAGATAAAAAGTAGAAGAAATTATTTGTGATCTTAGGCTAGGCAAATATTTTTTTGGACAATATGACACTTAAAGTGTGATCTATAAAAGAAAAAAGGTTGATCAATTCAATTTCAACTAATTGTGCTTTACATAAGATCATTAAGAAAATCAAATCACAGTCAGAGAAAATGCTTGGAAATCAGACGTCTGATAAATGACGCATATCTCAAAACATTCAAACAATTCTTAAAACTCTACAAGAAGGCAAATGATTTGAGAGACATTTCTCCTTTTCAGATTATGGGAAAGGGCGGGGGAAAAAAGACATTTCTCCTAATAAGATATGTAATTTAAATAGACAAGCCTCTAAGTAGGTACATGAAAATATATTCAACATCTCAGTCATGTATGGAAATGCAAATCAAATTCACAATGAAATAACATTTCACATCCACTAGGATGGCTATAATCAAGACAGAAAATAATACTTCTGGTGAGAATTTTGGAGATATTATAACGCTTATACTTTGCTGATGGAATTGTAACTTGGCACAATCACTGTGGAAAACATTTGAAAAGCTTTTTAAAAATTAGACATAAATTTAGCATCCAAAACAACAATTCCATTCTTAGAAATATAACCAAAATAAAGGAAGATATATTTTAATTCAGAAAATTGTGAGTGTTCATAGCAGCATTATTTGTAATAGTTTTAAACTGGAAACAGCTCAGTGTTCATCAACAGGTGAATCAATAAACAAAATGAGGAATACCCATACATTGGGAGGCTATTTAGATAGCAAAAGTACCAAAATATCCATACATACTACCACATAGATAAACCTCAAAAATATAATGCTAACTGAAAAACCTCCACATATCATATGATTCAATTTATATGAAATATTCAGAAGAGAAAAATGTGTAGAGATCGAAAATTAATTAATGATTGGTTGAAGCAGGGAAAAGAAATAGTAACTTCATGTGGGCCATGAGGATAAAAGCAGTATTCTAAAATTGAATTATAGTGGGAGTTACATAACTCCATATTTACTAAAATTCATTCTCTCAACCATGCTTCATTTCCATGACTACTCAGGACTTGTTACATTTTCAAAGGTGATGCTTGCATTTTTTAAACTGGTAAATTTTATGGAGTATAAATTATACTGTAAAAAATCTGTTTAAAAAACAAAAGCTATAGTCAATTTTTAAAATAGCCTCACCAACAATTACTTGATGAATTTGCTTTGGTGTCAAAATTAAGCTGCAATCATGTTTTTCTTGGGGCGTGCTTGGTTCTGATTTAAATCCTTTGAGAACCTGTTTTTTAAAAAAAATCACATTTTTCCAAAATTAATCATTCAGCAAGCAAAAGTTATCTTAAGAATTCTCATGGAATAAGCAAATGTAAAATACTGTACATGCCTTTCTTCTCAGGGATTCTTCCTCCTTGGATGCTATATGCTTGGTACTTAGCAATTGGTTAGCTTTGACCGGACACTCTGCCAAAGACTGCTTTTCTTCTATTTCTGCTACTGATAGTGAGGGTGACTTTAGACCCGATGCTGGTTGTAAGCTTACGTCTGTATCATTATATGAGTACTTGCGCTCCCTATCAAAATAATAACAAGTAATTGAAGCCAAGTTATTTCGAAAATTTATCTGTAAATTCAAGTATTCCCCATAGCACACTCTGCTACTGCCTCACTCATTTCACTAATATCCACTTAACCAGTGCACTAATTTGCAAAAAAAATGTCCTTTACTGAGTAGATCTCTTTACAAAACTCTCACCAAGATAGATATGTCTATCCCTGCCACGCTTGGGAACAGGCCACAATCAATGACTAATCTAAAGCACAAAAGACAAGCCCCATAGCTCAAGGTCAAAGGTATAATCTGAGCTCAAGAGACCCTGGGCATTTTATTTGAAACACACTCATCCTCAGTTCTCTCTCTTTCCTTATTTTGTTTCCCTCATCCTTATCTATAATGGTTTCTCCTGAAAACACATTCTCTATAAATCACAGACACAGGATTCCCTGTCTCAGGATCTGCTTCTGGGGAAACCCACCTAAGATAAACTCAAATCAAAGAGTAACAAAATGAATAATTGTAGTTAAAGTAGCTCGATATTTTGCTTTTATTATGTATTATTGTGTAACTTAAATCACTAAAAATACAAAAGAAACTAATGAATAAAGAAAAAATTTAGCTCTGTAGGCACTGTGATCTGTTGTATATTGTTGGAGGAATTAAACATTACCTTGCTGCTTGTTTCTGCAGGCGCACATTTCCTAAATATTTAATATAATTTGCATAGTAAATTTCATGTGATTTCTTTTCCAATTTTTCAAATTCAGTATATTCAAATTCAGGATCCACATAGTTATATCTTGGAATCTTTGTGAAAATTGTCCTATAATATAAGCAAATCATGTTAATATTTGTACATACGCATTTGTTCAATCAGCATTTACTGAGGGTCTCCTAGCCAATTTTTATGTCAGGTGTAGGACATAAAATGGTGACTAAGCAGACTCTACTCTTATCCCTCATATCCTATTCCATGTTCAGATGTGATTGCATGTAGAACTAGAGTGAGGCCTGATTTTTGTCTTTTTTTTGAGTTGGAGTCTCACTCGGTTGCCCAGACTGGAGTGCAGTGGCCGCTCTCGGCCAAGGCAACCTCGCCTGCTGGGCTCCGGCGATCCTTCCGCCTCAGTCTTCCGAGTAGCCGGAATTACAGGCGCGCGCTACCACGCCCGGCTGATTTTTTGATTTATTGTAGAGATGAGGTCTCACTGCCCAGGCGGGTCTCGAGCCCGTGGGCTCAGACAATCCACTCACCTCAGCCTCCCAAAGGCGCGGGATTACAGGCTGAGCCACCGAGCCCGGCTCTGATTTTTTTCTTAACTTAATCAGATAAAATATTTTCTCCTTAAGGTCATTGAGATGTAGTGGTGCCTATTCTAAACCCATCCTTGAGGCATTAGTCAGGTAGGCAACTAGGGCAATACTAGATTACAGAGAGAACTTCAAGAAACTAGATCTGAATTTGACTAGTGATTCCAAAAATTAATTGCTTTCAGATTATTATAATCGAAATTAGAAAAAGTATACAGAATAATGAATTTTTTAAAAAACTTTTTTGTTAAACATGCCACTTTTTTAAAATCTCTGATCTTATTGAAATAACCATCAACAATAAATGTATACAGAATAAACAATCCATAAAAGAAATGTGAATGTCTTCATAGTTCATAATCACTCAACTGGATTTCTGGTCTTCCTTTTTACTCACCACCTATTTTCAATAAAAAACCAAAAATACTGTTACTGACACCTTCTGGCCTTGGTATACCACAATCCTCAGCAAATTTTCTTAATCATTAAGATTTTCACCCTCAATAATTAACACATAAATATTGTCTTCAACAATTCCTCAGTGTTTACAATAAAATAGACTTGACCTAGTTAAAGTCTTTAGGAGAGTGAGAAAATAAGAGGAAAAACAGATTTGTTATTCAAAGACAGTTATTGATATTTACATTTTCCTTCAGGTTCCCAGACAGTTAACCACCTTGAAGCCAGAAATAATTCATATATCTAAAGGTCTGAGGTCTCTAACAAGGAGAAAGAGAGGGACTAGGAAAGGAGTAGTGAAGGAACTGACTTAGTGACAAAGAGATGACTAATACATATCTAAACCCTTATTGGCTTCTTAAAGGACAATAAAGACTAATAAATAATAAAAATAATCTAAGAACACATCTGCAGCTTGGGGCATGCAATTTTTAAAAATATGCAAAGTATACAGGACTACAATTACTATGGAAAAAATTGTTCTAACTTTACTTATTAAGAAAAATTTACCCAATGCCTATTATGTTCCTGACACTATTCTAAGCACAGGGCATAATGTAGTAAACAAAAACAAAACAAAAATTCTTAATTTATTTTCTTTTAAAAAATTGAAAAGGTAAAACACATTAAAATAAAAATAAAATAAATAAAAATAAAATCACAATTATCAAGAAGTTAATACATTCTAAAATATATTTTGCTACTCAAAGTTTCTAACTACTAACCAGGAAATAAGAGGAATAAATTTTGCCTTACTATTAATATGAAAAAGAGTTCACTGGGAAAAATAACTATGGTCATTGAATAAATAGAAAATGCTAAGTCTCATTTGAAAACAAACTGTGTCACTTTTAGACCATCTAATTAATATAGACAGACAGAAATAAAATGTTAATATTAAAAAGTATATCTTTCTAAACATATATTTGTATACGCTTAAGAGTTGAAAAAGACATGTAAATAATTATTTCCAGAAGCCACCTCTGCAAGGTATGAGGGGATATAATGAGCCAGAGGGAAAATAAAATTTCCTTTTTTATGATGTATAATTTTAAATTATGTCTGAGTAATTTTTAATGTTTCTGTGTTTTATAGTACTTACCAAATAAAAAAATAGGAAATGCTGTTGGAGGTGGAATATGTAAAATAAAATAATAAGATAGACTGTAGAAAACCTTAGAACTTTCCTATTGGAGATAATAAAACAATTATATCCTATAAATCAAATGGTATTGTAAAAATATCTCTGCACAAATGAATGAGCTTTAACAACTTACCAAAACTAAAGAGACAAGTACAGAAAAGCCCAGGGCCATTGTCAAGTTTAGATAATCTACTAGCAGCATACAAGCACTCAGTAAAGAAGCTTACTTTAGTTTTAATGTGTGTAAAAATCATTTTTGGGCTCAGGGTCCAGGTAAAGGTGTCAGGATGCCTGGTTCACTACCCACTAACCATTGTCAAGATAGTAATTATTTGATGTTTGGATAAATTTAAACTGAGTTTTAACACTTTTTATTATCCTAATTGGAAAGGATTTAGCTCAGTTTGGGAAAATAATTATGATCATTGGAAATATGCCTTTGAGGGAGTCAAACAAAGATAATGATCATATGATTGACTTTATCATTTTTTTACTTAAATAAATTCAAGCTCTCAACCATTCTTAATAAACATGACTACTCTGAGAGCTTGTTACATTTTCAAAGGCGATTATTTCTATCAGTCTTCTATTCTTGGTCAAAAGCAGCATATTTTAAGAATCATTTTGTATACTATTTGCTTCCTGGCAAGAACATAGTAGAGGTGAAGAGAAATTAGATAAAGTATTCAACAACCATCTCAGTTCATGCCAAAAAAAAGTTTTATTATTATTATTATTATCATTATTGAAATCTTTAGTTTTATACAACAGGATCTGATCAGACCTCTGTATATCATGTTATACCTTTAAAAAGTTTACATTTTTAATATTGTATGTTACCTGAAATTTTTATGATGATCTCCAGACCTGATACTTGCAGCTCGGTCATTGGGAAAGGCTATCAATGCATCCTTCATTGACTTTTTACTTGAGTGGTGATTGTGAATGCTTGTCATGGCTGATTGAAGCATTGCTACTGGTGCGGAATCCTTGGATTTTGCCAAGTCTTCAACCACAAACTGTCCCACGGGATTACTTACCAAAGGGGATATACCTTTTATACAATTGAATATTAAGTTTACATATGG